CGCGGAGCGGCTGGGCCCGTGAGCCATGGCCGCTGAGCCTGCGCGTCCGGAGCCTGTGCTCCGCAACGGGAGAGGCCACAAGAGTGAGAGGCCCGCATAACACAAAAAATCAAAAAAAACAAAAAAACGTAGACTAAAAAGATGTCTGGAAACACTGCTCATTGATTCTTTTGAAATGCAGCGTCTCCTGGTTGAAGATGATGATTTCAGTACAGTCGGAGACGACACTGGAAGAGAAAAACAGAAAGCGTTTGCCCTGGGGAAGAAGAAGAGGTAAGTTAGGGTCCTCACCTACGTGACAGATTCCACCGCGACCTCCAGGCGCTGGCGTGCCTGCTCTCGCTGGAAAGCTCCTGACTGAGGCGTGGAAAGAAACAGCGGAGCCCTCCTCCCTGCCTGCGCTTGCCCACCTTCTCTCCATCACCTCCTAGAGTGGCTTCCTGGGGACCGTGCAGGAGGAACCTGGGCGCAGCTCACTGCGAGGAGGAGGCCCCTCTCCGAGCTCCGGGTCTCGTTCTCCCTCCGCCGGGGCCCTGTTCCTGCAGTCGGCCTCCCCCATCCCTGAGTCTCTTCCTTCAGACACCTGCCCTGGCTTGTCTAGGGTTCACGCTTCCTGACCCTGCTCCAGCTGTGTTCTCCTGCTGTCACCTCCGTCACTTCTCCGTCACTCTCCACCCCGTCTGTTCCCTCCAGGCAGCCAGCCAGGTTGCTCACCCAGCCGACCCTCCCCTTGGAGGGAGCTCCCTCCCCATCCATCTTCCTCGCTCTGCTCTGCCCGAGTCACGTCACCTTGGGTGGGTTCGCTCCTTCCTCTTCTGTACACAGCCCAGCTCTCTCCTGGCCTCCAGACCACAGACACCTATCAGAATCTACTGGAACCTTCCACCAATGCTGATACTTCAACCTCCACATGCCTGGGCCTGGCTCCCACCACCGTGGTCTGCATAGTCACCCCCTTGCAGGCCACACCAGGGGTGCGGGAGGTCGTCCTGATCTGTCCCCACTTCCCAGTCTCCTGAGGTCTTGTGTCCTGTCCCCGTCCTCATTGCTTCTGGCTTGGTGGCCACTCCTCTCTGCAGTAGCCTTTGAACCAGGCTGCCTGCCTGGCCCAGCCCCTGCTCACCTCAGCCTTCCTCTCCTCCCACCTTCCACAGCTTGGGTACCAAGTGTCAGGCGTTGTGATGGCAGCAAGAAGACATGCCCTCCGCCTGGCATGCAGGACAGGGAAGCGAGGGCCGGGGTGGAGGTGGTGTCCCCCAGGTGTGTGACCCTGTAACCATGTGTGGAGCTGGGCGTTGCAGACGTGAGCATCTGTGAAGGTCACACTTGGATTGGGAAGGTGAAGCAGGAAAGACTGCACTGCTCTGAGACACCTTCCCTCAGCCGCTTGTAAAAGCCCCGAGGCTGGACCCCTCTGCGGGGAGGGCGTGGGAATGCACCCCGGGGAGGGCTACCCCGAGGCCCCTGCGGGAGCAGTGCAGAAATGCTGCCCAAGCTGCCAACGTGCGTCTCTGCAGCCCCGCCCTGACCCGACCCTGCAAGTTGGAATGAGATGTGGAGTCACTCCTCGACCTGGTGGGGCCCTTGGCGTCTGGGATGTGACCCCGTGACGGCCTCTGTGTCCCCGCAGCCAGGAAGCCCTTCGTGTGCGGAGCGGCGACGTCCCCTCTGGTGCAGAGACGCCTGCCCGCCCCCGTGGACCAGAAGCTTCTCTCTCCATCCACGTCGGGAGCTTCAGATAGCACAGGGCCTCCACACTCCTGCTGCAGGTCCTGGCCCGTTTCCTGGTTTCTGCCCCGTGTGGACACGGACTCAGCGCCCTGCTTTGTCACGAGCAAAGAGGGCGCTCCATTGCAGGCCAGGCGAGTGCGCTCGTCACCCGCTCCGTGGCGCGTCCCCCCAGGCTGGCACGGACCTGGCCGCACCACAGGTGCCAACCAGCCGACACCCTCGCACCAACACTCAAGCCCCGCCACCATCTTTATACAAAAATTGACTAGTTTTGCATTAACTGCAGGCATGGGTGACGTGCCACGTGGCTCATCCCTGCACACCTGTCTCAAAAGTATACCCGCCCCACTCTCTCTCTCACGCTGTACAGGTATCTGTGGCCGCCCAGGCTCTGACAGCTCGGCTCACAGTGATGGGCTGGCCAGGCTCACGCTGTGACATAAACAGGAGTCTGTTTTCTGGTCCCCAAATGGCACGTTTCCCCTTTGGTCTGAGTTAGAAGTGGTTCTGAAGCGTTAGTTACCTCTCTTTCCGGGATGAGGAGACCAACGGGGCATCCTCTGAGGTCGGGTGCCACTGGGGAGGGGGCAGCATGAGCTGGCGTCCGACCCGTGCTGTCTGTGGTCAGAACATTCTCGCCGGGGCCTCTTCCTTCTGGGAGCCTGACGGGGAGGCAGGGTCGTGGCCAACAAGCCTGGGAAGGGCTGAGGGGGCAGTCCTGAGGAGCCTCGATTAAAATGGGAAAAAGAAAATGTGAACCAAGAGTCTTCTTAATGCGGCATACCTGGCTCTCCCATTTAAAAGATGTAAGTGGTATTTATGACAGCTATGTCGCGTCTGTGTTACTGAGCTGAGTGATTTAGGACACCGGGGTGATTCACTTTCTCAAGCTAACTAAGTCGGAAGCAGGAAAAACAGTAAATTCTTTACTTTCTTATACCTCAGTGATGCTTTATAGCGACTCTCTTGCTAAGTATGGTTATCTTGATTTCACAGTTTTTCATCAGCCTTTTCACCACTGATGATATTAAAATAGCTCTTAAACGTAAGGGATGGAAAGGAAATGACACGTGGGCTAGGCCTCCGCCTAGCCACCGGCTTAAGGAAATTGCGTGGATGTTGCTGCGCCCGTGCTGCCCTTCCGCAGAGCTTGCCACTGAGTGGAATGAATGCCCTGCCCTTCCTTCCTCTGTCCTCCCTCCTTCCAAACAGTGTCAACACCACCACTAGAAACTCTGGTCTCTGTGTGTGCGTCTGAAATTGTTGGCTCGCGAATCACGTACTAATTTGTATTGAAGCAGTCGTGTTTTAAGAAGCTGGACTTTGGCGAGTGCTTCTGGCCTCAAACACTAACTCTGTCTCAGGAGACGCGCACGTGGGGTCCAGACTCTCCAGACGCACCTGGCGGGCAGTGACGAGGCCGAAGTGTAAGCTCCCTGACTGACTGCCCCTCTGTGTAGAGGCTCTTCTGTCCCTTTTCCCGTAACTGACAGGGCTCCTTGGTGTGTCCCTTCATTCCACTGTAATAAAACATTAATGTTCTAACTGAAAAGCCTTGCTTCTGAGAAGCCGGCGGCCTCGCTGGGCGTCACCTACCACGACAGGCAGGGGTCGAGGTGCTGCACGGTGTCCACGGTGAGCGGCCGGGGCCTCGGTGGTCTCTGCTTGTCGGCTTGCTCCCTCCCTCCCTCCCTCCCTCCCTCC